TGTGACCTGTCTTATGGCATCCCTGACTGCCAGGAGTGAGCTTTGGAACAAGGGCAGCCCTTCCATACAGCGCCAGGCTGGCCGGGGCACATGCAGCACACACGGGGCAAGGCACGCGGGGACGTCCTGCCACAGGCTGGGCAAGGAGGAGCCTGGCCCGTACCCAGAGGGGTCTTGGGCACAGGGACACCAGGACCCTTGGCTGCCGTGGTTACCACTGAACACTGACGCCGCAGGGTGAGGACGCAGGCCCTGCTGGGCCAGCCAGGCCAGGATGGGTTGCACATTTAGGACGGAGTGTGCACCAGTACCACGGGGATGGGTGCGGGAGGAGAACGTGGCTGGCTGGATACCGCACTAGTCACCAGCCGTGCTCTCTGGGCTAGCTGGGGCTTTGCAGGAGCCCTGGCCCAGCATCTCGGCCTGTGTCTGTCCACGATGCTGAGCTGAGATCCCTGCATGCAGGATGGGGACAAGCACGGGCTCGGGAAAGGCCCTCCCCCCCCCGGCTGGGTCTGAGCCAGATGCAAAGGGGTGCTGACACCGCACGGGAAGTGTCCCACCGCAGCTGCTGTCTTGTGGCCCGGCATTGCTGCATCTCTCATGCTTTATCACGGTCCGTATTTCAGGCCCCAAGCGATCAGAACGGGCAGGGGCCCAAGCCCAAACCCTGAGCCAAAGGCCCTCCCCCCACAGTGTGAGCAAATGGAGAAATAGTGTGGCCCAGTGGCCAGAGCACAGGACTGGGGTCCAGGAGCTCTGGCTTTGCTTCTGGGCTCTGCCACTGACCTGCTGGGTGACTGCCCAGGTCTGCGCTCTACCCACTAAGCCAGGCTGCCTCTTAGGGAGGTGAAATGCTATGATCTTGCCCTCCAACCTTTGCTTATTCCCAGCCCCACCGGTGGTTCCTCCTGCAGTGCCATGCTGGCTGGGGCGCAGACCCAGCCGCCAAACAGCTGGAATATTTAGGTTCCTTTCAGTGAGGAAGGGTTGCCCAGTGGGTAGGGCACCAACCCAGGTCTCATAGATCCCAAGGCCAGAAGGGACTGTGGTGATCAGCTGGTCTGACCTCCTGCATAGCACAGGCCAGAGACCTGCACCCCTGCACCCCCCACCCCAAGCAGAGCTGTTAGAGAAATATCCAGCCTTGTAGTTACAAATGGTCCCAGGGTTAATGACCCTCACTGTGAAAAACCGATGCCCTATGCCCAGTCTGAATTTGTCTGGCTTCAGCTTCCAGCCATGGGCTCGTGCTAGACCTTCCTCCGCTGGATTATCAGCTATCTGAACCCCATGTGGGGGTGTACAGACATCACCCCTTAACTTTCTCTTTGTTAAACTAGCTAGACGGAGTTCTTTGAGGTGATCACTGTGAGGCAGGTTTTCTAATCCTTTAATCATTTTCAAGGCTCTTCTCTGACCCCTCCCACATTTATCCACCTCCTTTTGGAACTGTGGGCACCAGCCCTGGACACAGGATCCCAGCAGCGGTCGCAGACGGGCCAGATACAGAGATAGAATAACCTCTCTGATCCTCCCCGAGATTCCCCTGTTTATGCAGCCCAGGGTCGCATCAGCGCTTTGGACCACAGCCTCCCACGGGGAGCTCCTGTTCTGCGGCTTGTCCGCCCCAACCCCCAAATCTTTTTCAGAGTTACTGCTTCCCCTCCTGTACGTACGGCATGCACCCTCTGGTCCTAGATGGATACATGTAGCCATATTAAAACACGTGGCATTTGCCTGAGCCCGGCTTGCCGAGGATCCAGATCGCTCTGTGTCACCGACCCGGCCCCTTCTCCGGTTCCCACTCCCCCAGGTTTTGTGCCATCTGCAAACTTGATCAGTGATTTTTCTTCCGGGTGACTGATAAAAGCGTGTAGCAGCGTAGGGCCAGGACAAGATCCCGGGGGGTGTGTGTGTGCACTGGAAAGGCACCTGCTCATTTTGAGAGCTATCAGGTTGCCGGTCTGAATCCACTGAATGCGGAGCGTGGCAAGTTTATATCGTGCGTGGTTTTAATCAAGCCGTTGCATGGTACCAAATCAAACACCTGACGGAAGTCTGAGTCTATTACATCAGCACCGCTACCTTTCTCAACCAAACTTGTTATCTCACCAAAAAAGATACCAAGTTAGTTTGACAGGATCAATTTCCCATAAATCCATGTGGATTGAGATTAATGACATTACCCTCCTGTAATTCTGTATTAATTGAGTCCACGTCAGCTGCTCCATTATCTTGCCCAGAATTGATGTCAGAATGACAGGCCTGTAATTACTCACGCCCTGCCATTTACCCAACATTAACTTTCTTCCAGTCTTCTGGAACTTCCCCAGTGTGCCAAGATGTATTCAAAATCAACATCAATATTCCAGCAACCTCTTCAGTCAGCTCTTTTAAAACTCATGGGTGCAAGTTATCTGGACCTGCTGATTTTAAAAATGTCTAACTTTAGTAGCTTCTATTTAACATCCCCCAGAGATATTAATGAATGCAAAGAGTGTTATTATATGATATGACTACATTGTGTTTTTCCCAAATACAGAACAGAAATATTTATTGGACACTTCTGCCTTTCCTGCATTGGTATTGCTAATTTTACCATTTCCATCTAGAAATGGACCAATACTGTTGTCAGGATTCTTCCAAAATATATTTTAAAAATCTCATTCTTACTTTCCTTAACTCTGGTGACCATAGAGTTCTGGTTGTGTTCTTTTGCTTCCTTTATCAATGTTCTACAATTCCTAGCATCTGATTTACATTCATTACTGTCAATTTCCCCTTTCTTTTATTTGCTACATTAATTTATTTTGTGTTTTTTAGCTGTCGTCACTTCCCCTCTAGACCTGAGTTCAATTCCCTGCTTTGCCACAGACTCCATGTTTCTCAGCTCCTATCTGTACAAGGAGGATAATAACACCACCCTGCTTCACAGGACTCAGTGAGTGAGGATAAAGAAAAGGAGGACTTGTGGCACCTTAGAGGCTAACCAACTTATTTGAGCATAAGCTTTCGTGAGCTACAGCTCACTTCATCGGCTGTAGCTCACGAAAGCTTATGCTCAAATAAATTGGTTAGTCTCTAAGGTGCCACAAGTCCTCCTTTTCTTTTTGCGGATACAGACTAACACGGCTGTTACTCTGAAACCTGAGTGAGGATAAATACACTGAAGATTGTGAGGTGCTCACATGCTGAAGTGATGGGGTCAGATAAGGACCATGACTTGTTTATTTGTGATAGAAACACTCTAACAATAATTAAAAACACAGAGAGTCAAAAATACAGTATAATGGACTGGGACAGATCCTCAGCTGCTGTACATTGGTGTAGCTTAGTTGTCTCCAATGGGGCCACATTGATTTCCCTGAGCTGAGGACCTGAGCCGAGGCACCATGACTATACTCTGTGTGCCGTGGCTCTAGGTGCCAATGCGAGATCATCCCCATGAAATCACTCCTACCAGAGAAGCGGCGTCAGTCCCAGCAGCCTGGCCAGGTTGCAGTTTAGACCATTCACCTACCACCTCCCCTGAAGTGGGTAGGTCTCTTACAGCTGTTCTATGGGTTTGCCTGGGACTGTGAAAAAGCAACCACATTCATCCCTGGGGCGGGGGCTGCATTCCTCGCTGAGCGTAGCATTGGTCCCAGGCAGTACCACCAACCCCAAATGGTCAGAAATCCTGAGATTAGCCTCAAAATCATGAGATTTTGTAAAGACTATCTATTCTTTCTGTCTGCTGCTCTCTGACCTGTTGGCTCACACATGAGTCATGTTTGGAAGCTTTTCTCCACAGCTATAAGGCCTGGAAAGTTACTTTTGGAAAACAATGAAAGCCAAGATTCTCACCTACATCACTTATCTCTGGGGCTTTATGCAAACACTGAGTATTGTGAGCTCACCAGCATTGGCCATAGTGCCCCTGGGATCCGTCAGCGTGAAAATGCCAGGAATGCCGGTGTTAATACTCTTCCTGGAAACCTGCCTCTTCCTTTAACCCCCAGAGAAAGCTCAAGAGAGCTTCGGGACAGGACAGAGATAACATCCAGATAAGGAACCTGTTTCCACTTTCTCTAACTCCCCTGACTCAGGAGTGGTCCTGGGAGATTTGCTCCAGCCAAGCGTCTTGTTTGCATGGTCTGGGACTCCCCAGATCTAATCTGTGCCGGGTGTTTAACTTGGTGACGGTAGGTGCAACTTCTGCAAACACCTGGGAAGGAACAAGCCTGGCAGGGTTTATAAATATCCCCCAATACACTTCACGCTCTGCTGGCAATGTGCCTCAGTGACATCATTTGAGGCACACAGGTTTTGAACTTGATCAAAAAGAAAAAAATCTGTGTTCAGAGCGAGCGATCTGCGTGGGCGTGTGGCCATGCTGGAGACTGGCAATACCTTGATTTAATCTCAGCTACCTGCTTTGCACCATTGCTTCCAGGTTGCAATGGAAAGCTCTGAAAGTGACTTCACCTGCAGAGCCCTGCTGCTCTTCACCTTCACCTCCTGCTTCTGCTGGGCTGTCTGGGTGGCTGGGATAGAGAATCCCTCTTCTCTGGCCTGTTTGGCTGTCTGTCCGTCCTTAGACTGTGAGCTCATCGGGGCAGGCAGTGTCTCGCCATGTACAGCGGGGGGGGGGGGGCGCTCTGGGCGTGACCACAAACGCATGGGACACACTGATTGGTCATCATCATTAAGCCGTTTGGTCCAAAATAGAATTCCATTTCTGTGACCAATTTAAAAAGAATGTCATGGCTGCCATCTCACTCAGCTTCTGTCCCCGGGCTTTTCATTTCTTTGATTACAAAAGCTTGAAATGAAATAAAGTAAAATGTGTTTAGTTGCAGATTGGACTTTTAAAAAACCCAGGTGTTGGAAGATGGTTTCTCCACTTTTTCTCCCTTTTATTCCCCTGCTCTTTTTCGGGGGAGGGGGTGGGTGGGAATCAAAACAAGGAGAAACAAAGGAGGGAGGGGGCAGAGAACAAAAACACCTTGAAATATAAAACCTAAAACGACATTTTTTTTAACGAAACACAAATATTCATTTTGAAAATTGTCATGGAAAAAAACACACAAATTCAAACAAAATGCAAAAATCAACAACGGTTGGCGTGATGGAAAAGCCATTTTCAATGTAAAAAGCCTCCAACTTTTTGACCAAAACATGTCAACCAGCACTAGTTAATAAGAAATGATTATTAACAATCACAATAAAGTTCTGCCCGAAACGCCAGACTCCTCCACACCGACAACGAGGTTTCATTTTCACTTTTTGTTTTGCAACACTTGCTTTGAGGAGCTCTTGAAAACACACCAGCTCTTCAACTGCCTTGTCCAGCACCCAGTTATGTCCCTGTTCTGCTTCTGCCTCCTCTCGGGCCCTGGTCTACAGTATCTTGACAGTCCCGATATTAGGGGCTTGGTCTTACATAAGCAACTGTACCCCCACAAAAGAAGTGTCCCAATTTCCCCCTTTCCCCCCCAAAAAACAGGTCCCAATTTGTCACACTTGCTATCTGGTCACTCTCCCCCAATCCCATCCCCAGGCAGGCTCAGGTGGATTCTGCCCCTCTTTGCCCCCTGGCAGCTGCCCCATCAGGTTTCCGCTGCAGCTTGGCATGGCCTCGGTGGCTTGTTTGCTTGCAGGGTTATCTGGTCTGAAGCGAGTGTTGGTTTTGGCGAGGAGTGCCAGGACCACGCCTGCTGTTTAAATACCACAGCCAAGGGGGTTAGAGAAATTGAATGAAATATTTGTTGCGGTTGGAAGACACACACAACCCAAACACACACCGCTCCGCTCTCTGGCTACTAGAGGAAAGCAGGGGGAGGGAAGATTCTCTGAAAAACCACACTGGCTCCTGAGGCTGCTTTGGGGAAGTAATTAGGGCCCAAATCATGCCCCGTGTGGCTCCGCGGAGCCCAGTTCCACTCTCGCTCAGGCGTCTGTAAATCCTGGAGTGAGAGGCCACGGCCACTGGTCTCTGGGCGTTGCCACCAGGCTGAATGTGGCGAGACGCCGCTGGCTTTGCACACCCACGGCCCGATGTGCCTCTGCCCTGCACTCTGTGTGGTCACTTTCACCAGTGCCGGGTGGGCGTCCCAGGCCGCCGTGCTCCTGTGCTGGCCTTTTGTGCTCACTCTGCCCGGGTGGGAAGGGTAGGGTGGTGGCGGACCACCCTTCCCCGCTGACTGCTCATTGGGTTTGCTGTTTACACCTGCTTCCTGACTCCTTTGCACCCAGTAGGCCAGATCCTGCTTTCACTCACCCCAGTGTAAATCCAGAGTGTGTGTGAGGGGGGAGCTCAGAATGTGAACCAGTGTGAAACCAAAGCCCCTCAGTTATTCCCTGCAAAGAAAGGTGCTAATTAGCAAACGGATGCATATGGTTTATATGGATGATCCAGTGAAGCCTAGTTCGAGGAATGGAGCACTCTGAGGTCCTCTCCCCAAAGTCCCTGCAGAGACGCCGTCCTGATGAACTCACGTCACAAACTGTTTCATCAGAGAAGGTCATTTCCAAAGGAGGCGAGTGCCAATAAGAAACAAACCTCCACTCCGAACCCTGTAGCTGTGGGAGGCACAGAACAAAAGGAGGAATTGGGCTTGAAATCAGATTATCTCTATTCCTAATTTATCCCCCTTTTATTATTTCTAACAAGTAAGCGGGTCTATTTTGGAACTGGCGTCCCCAGGAGAGTAGCTAATCAGGGCAGTACATGAGCAGACTTTAGGAAAAAAGTTCCTTTTGTGATGTGTCGCAAGCCTATTTACTAATATGAAAGCTGGATAATTAAATGCCACTTCCTGGAACACAATGAGAAAGCTTTATGTAAAGCCACATGAAAGCAGCTTGCTCCCAAGAATGGACCTTTCAAATTTCAGTGTGCTTTTGCGAGGCTGAGTGTGTGCCCTGTGTCTGGTGCACATGTGGACGCTGTGTGTGGATAAATGTGTGTATTGCGTGTCTGCCTGTATGCAGTGTGTCGCTACAGGGTATCCAAATGTGTTATGTGTCTGTTGTCTTTCATTACCATCATAGTAGCACCATGTTGCATGGGGCTGATTGTATGGGTGTTCTGTGTGGGTGTGCATGTGGTTCTGATGTACCATTAGTGTGTTGGGTGATTTCTTTAATTGTCTGTATGCTGCACACAGCATGCGCGCACACCGATTTGACACAGTGTTTATAATACAATGACAAATAAGGAGATGCAGGCTTACAAAAAATCCCATCAGCTCAAAGCTCCTACCCACAGAATGTCTTTGTGCAACAGCGTCTAACTCTTCCTATCATGTTTCAGAGTCAGCACAGGACATAGGCACTGCTGCATGGGCGTTAATAACACATGAGGGTTTGTCTACATGGGGAAACTGACCAGAACAGCTCTTCGGAATAGATCTCTGTGTGGACACGCTATTCCAGAATAAAAGTGATGTTATTCCAGAATCATTATCCTTTTTGGAAGCACACCAATCATTCCTGGATCAAATGACTTATTCTGCATTAGCTGTTCTGGTCCATTTCCACATGCAGATGAGCCCTCACTGACTGCACAGGGCTGAATTTCACTGTTGTTTATAGTACAGAGAACTCTTGACTGCAGAAGCTGCGGAAGCTTGAAAGCTGGTCTCTCTCCCCAACCAAAGCTGGTCCAATAAAAGATATGGCCTCTCCCTGCACCCCCTTGTCTCGCTGATGTCCTGGGACTGACACGGCCACAACACGCTGCATGCCCTTGGCTAGATATTACTTTTCTAAATGCAGCCAATGCAGCATCACAGGGCCTGTCTGTGTTGCCCAGTATCACACCCACTATTTGAAAATCATGAAGACATTCCCCAAAGCAAACAGGCAGCTCTCCAAGCCCCTCGGCAAACCCTTGCAAGAAGGGATGGGATGTGCACTGTGCCCTGAAGCGAAAGGCACCTAAACCAGGTTTTGGAGTTTAGGAGCCTAAATACCTTTGAGGAACTGGGCTGTTCCCCTTTTTGTTCCCATAGGAAGGAGGCCTGGAAGGGGCAATAGGTTTGGTGTTAATTTGGCGAGTCTTCTTTTCGGCTTGTTTTTTACATTACAAATCAGGTCTTATCTACCCTGGAAGACACTATGGTAACTGGAGAAAGAGTCAAGTTATAAATAACACAAGGGACACGCGACTGAACAGCGGAGAGGGGACTGGCACGTTAGTCGGACTGTTTAAAACACTTTGTTTTTGGTAACTCCTCTTTAACTATAACACCTAATAAACATCTGGGAGAAAGAGCAGCTTTGTTAAAGGTTCCCAACCCTTCCCCACACACATACTTTCAGGGGCGGGATGAAAGAGTGCCCAGTATATCCCTCTGAACCCCCCAGCAAAACCAGGGGAGACCAGATCACGAGGTTGGGGGAAAAGCTGGGAAAATCCCCCCTCTTTCCAGCCTTTTCTGTTCCTCCAGCAGTGCCAACTCTCATGATTTTGTCATGAGTCACGTGATAATTATTGGTTCCTTCAAGCCCCAGCTCCTGGAGTCACGTGGGCACGTGATGATTTCAGCCTTCAGTCTTAAAGGGAAAGTACGCTTCTAGCCCTTGTGGCTGTGGAGAAAGCCTCAAAATGTGACCCCCGTGCTCCCTAGAAGCTCCAAAAGCAGAAGGCCAATAAAAAGAAACCAAACCCACCACTCTGACATCATCTCATGGTTTTAAAGCTGATCTCATGATTTTTGAACATTTGGGGCTGGCAATGCTGTTCATCATAGAGAAACAGAACAGGGCACCTGTCCCATTTTCCCTCAAACCCTTTTAGGTGTCACCGTGACAAACCCGGGCTCTGCTGGGACAGCTAGGTTGGACCCTGTGCCTCACTCCGTCTGTGCAGCTCCCAGCCCAGGGATGCTTGGATCGTGCCCGGCTGCAATGCTAATCATTTCTAAACCCTGCGTGTCCCTTGGCACGTGTCAGACCAGCCTTCACGGGAGGGTCTGAATGTACGAGGAATGTGCGAGGAGGCCATGTGTTTGCAGGCCAGCATGTATGTTTCTGTTCACAGGCGTGAGCCTGAGCATGTTCCTGCGTGCATTCCCGGGCGATGGCCTTGCGAGAGTCTTTGGGCCTGGGAGGCCATGTGTGGGGAGGCTGCGTGTGCGTGTTGCTGGGTGTTTGAGGGTGTGGTAGTGGGGAGGTTGGCTGTACCTGTTGCAGCTGAGAATGTCCACTCCCCCCTGCTTCTCCCAGCAGGGCCGTGGTCTCACCCATGTAAAACATCCACTGGTCCCCTTGAGCCATCAAAACCTGGCATGGCTGGCGTAACCTCCTGTCCATCAGTGCCGCCTGGGCCCTCCTGCCTGCTCGCACACAGCCTGCTGCTTTCAGGTTTCCTGTAACAGTGAAAGTTAAGTGGGGAAAAAAACGTTGTCGTTAGCGTGTAATAGAGGAAGAGAGGTAAAAAGGGCAGGAAATTTGCACCAAGTCCATTTCCCCTTGGCCCTGGGCCGCTGCTCATTCCGGATCTGGGATTTGCGTAGGCAGAGTTAAAAATAGGGGGTATAAAAGAGAAAGGCGAAGGGCCGAGACAGCCCCACAAGAAGCCGGCCTCCAGCCTGAGAGAAGAGGGCAGAACTTGTGCAAGCAGGGCCAGGCAGAGATCAAAGCAGACCTGCCCCCGAGGGGAGCAGGCAGCCTAGAGGGGAGGACACATCTCTGTGTGTGCGCGGGCATGCGTGAGTGTGCATTGATGTGCACAGTTGTGTGAGTGAGTTTGTGCAGCCATGGGCAGCACTTCCATCGCTTGTCACACCAGTGAAGCCTCCTTGAAATGAGCTAAATTTAAAGTGTGTGTGTGTGTGTGTGTGTGTGTGTGCATAACAGGCTGTTGTGTGTCTGAGTGCGTACATAGGAGGAGAATCTGTGCACTAGTTTCTCTTGTGTTAAGTTTTTCTTGCAAAGAGCAATGGCTCTTCTTAGTCCTAGAAAATAACCCTGAGGGTCTGAGCCCTAGGAGGCGGAGAAGGAAGGGTATCTGGGCCTGATATTCCTGGTGTCAATTCTTATGAATGCTTTGGACCCCTCACAAGGGAGTTGGGTAAATGACCGTTTGCCACAGGCGGAGAAGATGCAACATTAGGTATAAATGCTAATGATTATGAACAAGATCATGGCTGGGTATTTCTTCATTTAATTAAGAAAACGTTAAATACCGCTGATAGCGCTGCTTGCGGGGCTGCGGGTCCCCAGGAGCCCCGTGAACACGTTGTTTGCAGGGGAAGGGGCTGCCCAGAAGAACCGGCCTCTGAGGGCTTCTCTCCTGGCAAAGGCTCTTGGAGGGCAGGCACCGGCCCCCGCCCCTCCCCAGTTAGGAGCGGGACAAGATTTGTTCACATCGGTCCCTCCCGGGAATTTCCTGTCCATTAACAACAAATCTAAAAGCCACCGAGGAGAAAAGGCCTTGAGATCAACATAAATAAACCAGCCCCGGCGTGCGGGGCGGCTCCCCGCGCAGGGTGAGGGGCAGCCGGGGTTCCAGTGGCCGGGAGTCCCGCCGGCGGCACTGGGGAGTGGCTGGCGGGGCGTCCCTCGCGCGGCCTGCCCGGGGAGGGTTGAAGTCTGTGCCCGGGCATAGCGAAGGCTGTGATCGCCCAGCCCCCGGCCGCGAACCCGCTGGGGCGGGCGGCCCGGCACCTGGCCGCGGGGCCGGTTCCTGGGGCGCCCCCCGCAGTCCCAGCGGCCCGGCGGAGGGCGCAGCCGGGGGGCCCCGCGCTGGAGGCCGCAGCGAGCGAATCTCGCCTGGCCTGATAACATTGTGTTTGTCCCGGCAGCGGGGGGAAAGCTGCCGGGAGCCGATAAGAGCCGGCGGCTCCGGGCTGGGCTGAATCTCCCTGGAGTTCCGCTTTGCTCTGCGGCGGGCCGGGCTGCGGGGCCCCGGGGCTTAACCCAGGGCTCCCCGGGGATCGGGCACAGCTCCCGGGGGAGCGGCGGGAGGAGGGGGCGTCTCAGCTCCGAGGGTGGGGAGCTCCCCGCCGCCAGCCTGTCCGTCCATCCCTCTGTCTGTCCATCCAGCCCCTCTCCTCCGTCTGTCCGTCCACCCTCCATCCCTCCCGCTGCCAGCCTGTCCGTCCATCCCTCCGTCTGTCCGTCCACCCCTCTCCTCCATCTGTCCGTCCATCCACCCTCCATCTGTCTGTCCATCCCTCTTCAGTCTGTCCGTCCATACCTCCATCCCCTTCCCGTCGCCTGTCTGTCCATCCACCCTCCATCGGTCCGTCCATCCCTTCATGCCCTCCCTACCGCCCGTCTGTCCGTCCACCCCCTCCCCACCAGTCCGTCCGTCCATCCTTCCTCCGTCTGTCCGTCCATCCCCTCCCTGCCATCAGTCTGTCTGTCCGATCCACCCATCCCTTCACCCCCATACATGGAGGGAAGAGATCTCCGCCAGCAGAGGCTCTCTGTCTATCCACCCCTCCATCCATCCCCATAACTAGCTTATCGAGCCACCCCCAGAGACTCTCAGCCAACCCCAAAGCCATGGGTGTTTGCAGCCACCTTTCTGCCTCTGGTTCAAGCAGTTGGAGGAGTCCTGGTGTGTCTCCCCCTTTGTGGAAGATGGTGGATCCCTCTTGTGGGCAGGAGCTTTCCCTGACACCAGGTGCTGCTGGGCTGGCCCAGGACTGGGGACGTGTTTGATGCTCTTAGTCTTACCCCACCCTGGATCAGTCCTATTAGAACAGAGCATCTTTCCCTAGGGCAGCGGCTTCCCTGCCTCAGGTCCCCATCCCACCAAGGCCAAGGCAGATGCTGGGGCAGTTCCCAACCTTGCTGCCACTTGGGGCTCCCCAGTTCCTCCTTGTTAGCAGAAAATAAGCCCAAGGGGCCGGTTGGTTCTAGCCCCATGGGAGATGGTGAACGTGGCCCCTTGGGCAGCGGTATTTGTAGCCCAAACGCTTGCTGCAGGGAATGGGGCACAGGGGCCTAGTGGGGCTGCCCCACTTTCCACCCTGGGGCCCAGGGAGTAAAGGACTCCTGAAGGGGCCATGCCCTGGCAAGGGAGCCAGGTGTGAGGCTAAGTCACTGTGGTGGGTCATGGGCTGGCACCAGTCCCCAACTATGCCACAGACTTCCCAGGCGACCTTGGGCAAGTCACTGAACTTCCTTGTGCCTCACTTTCCTGGCACGCCAGATGGGGCTGAGGCCTCCTTTGCCTCGTTCACTTGTAAACGAGGTCTGTCTCTCACCAAGCGCCCGGGCACTGCCCGGCCCCTGGCACCAGCCGGGTGCTAGACGTAGCGCCCACCGATGCCAGCGCCCCTCTGTGCAGCAGCCCCCAGCTTTCCTCTGCCAGCTGCTCTTCCAGGTTTGCCAGGAGCAGAGCTAATCTTTAACCCTTTCTTCTCCTCCCCCCACCGCCTCATTCATCCCTCCACTTTACTGTCCTGTTTGCTTTGCTGCTGTTTGATCTTGTCTAATGCCCCCTTCTTTACAGCCTGTTTTAGTGGCTGGAGAGATAATTCTCGTTTCCCAAATGCAGCTCTTGGGCTTCTGTAAAGAGAGGGCTGGTTACATCTCTCCTGCCCAGCTGGGCCCATCTGAAACCCACACACAGTAGGGCAGCACCTACTTCAGGGACTCGCAGGGGCCCCCCTGTGCTGGGACCTGAGCTGATCTCCAGCCGGGCCCCACCAGCTCCTTCTCACTCACAAGTCACAGCGTCCACTACATTGGGTCTGTGAGAGGAATGTAAAGGGAGGCTGGTCTCTCTCTAGGGGTGGAGGCCTTGGACAAGCCTTCTGGGTTCCAAGTCCCGGCTCTCACAGACTCCTGGTGTGACAGCAGGGGAGTCACTGACCCCGTCCCCAGCTGTGCCATGGGGATAAAGCTTCCTGTCCAAACGATAAGGGGGCTCTCGGAGGCTGCATTTGGGGCTCTCCAGCACCTAGCACAGCAGGGCCTGGTCTCAGGCGGGGCCCTGGTCTCAGGCGGGGCCCTGGTCTCAGGCGGGGCCTCTCAACGCGCCCCAGCAGGACGAATACCAACCACCTGGGAACCACTCCACAGGCCAAGACCCCCGGCAACAGACGTGAGTCCCATCCGGCGGCTCTTTCTCTCCCTCTGAAAATGAGCCAATATCGCAGGGCTGAGTCTATTCCAGGGGCTCTCAAACTTTGGTCCTGGTGACCCCTTTCACACAGCAAGCCGCTGAGTGCCACCCCCCTTACCGATTGCAAACACTTTTTTTATATTTAAGTGGGTTATAAATGTTGGAGGCGAAGGGGGGTTCGGGGTGGAGGCTGACAGCTCACAGCCCCCCAAGCCATAACCTCCTGACCCCCTGAGGGGTCCTGAGCCCCAGTTTGAAAATCCCTGAGCTATTCAAATGGAGGGGAAAGAGGGCAACCCAAGGGTAAGGAGAGGCTGCTCTTTCCTCTGGCTCCAGGACATTTTGTCTTGTTCTCTGTAAGCTCTTGGGGCAGCAGCGGCCACCATATCAGTGTCCTGCACAAAGGAGACTTCAGGCTGACAGGCTTAGCAGCCAGGCGGGTCAGGAGAGCCGCCCACGCCGGGCACGCGTGGCCTTCCAATGCCAAAGGTCCTGCTCCACGGAGAAGGACTTTCCAGCTTTTAGCCCAGCGGGTGGAGTTTAGTCTGGATAACAAAACAGGATTCTGAAATAACAAGCAGCCAGCTGATGTCCAGGCCAGTGCGTGCTTTGGAAATGAGTCCACGCGTTCTTGGTAAAAGGGGAAAGATTTGCATAGTTGTTTTCCCTTTGGATTCCTGCACTCATTTATTGCAGTGCTCCACCCTTATAATTAAAGGCAAGTGCGGAAAGCAACTGGTAGGTAGCTTAGGGTCCAGAGCAGGGAAGCTCTGTGAGCATTTACCTGTGTGGGTAGCATCATTATTACTGTCTAAATAGTCTTCTGGCTTCGGAATAGCAGAGGGCTCAACCCCAAGTTCTTCGAAAGGTAGGGAGAGATGGAAAGCCCCAGAGCGGGAGAGGCTTGGGGAGATAAACCTTATCGCTTCTAGGCAAGCTCAACAGTCAAAAAGCCATTCCTGGTATTGGCTGGAGGGAGGCCAGCCCAACTCAAACCAAGAGAGGAAGGTGTGGGAGGCTGTGTCTTCCCAGCGATGGCTTGGCTGGGCCAGTCCTCGCAAGCTGGCCGCTCTGTATTGGCTGGAGGTCTCTTCAGGGGTCCGTGTGACCTGCTCCTGGCTTCACAGGTAGCCCGAAGTTTCCCTGCTGCCCTGCAGTCCCCCCTCTCTGGGCTGTCAGGTGCCTGGCTGGGGGTGTTTTGTTCCCGAGGGAGAGAAACGCCGCCCGCCAGCCGCACCCGGCCAGGCTGTCCTGGGCCACCAGCTGCAGACCCTGCTGCGCTGGGGACTCGGGCCCTGGGTCTACACTCGGGCAGCTCTCAGCCTGGGGAGGCCCCAGGGCGGGCACAGGGCCCCCGGGTGCAGTGCGGCTTCACCAGGGCAGGGACTCCGGACAGTCACCGGCACTGCACTGGCCACGCAGGGCACGCTGCGCTCCACACCCCCGGGGACCCACACCGAGCCCTGAACCCCCCGCGGGCCCCCCGCCTGGGAGCAACTTTCCTCCCGGCTCCGCCGCTCCCCCCGCGGGCTCAGCCCGCCGGGCGAGCGGGCCCGGGGCGCGGACCGAGGGAGAAGACGGGGCGGGGGGGGCAGGAGCCCAGCACCGCAGCCCGGGGCCGCCCCGGGTCTCCCCCGCCCCACCGGCTGCCCGGCTTGGTGCGCCTTCCCGCACCCGGCTCGGGGCACATCCAGAGGGCGGGGCCTAAGGACCGGGGGGGGGCCCGCCGCCGCTCTGGCCAATCGGCGGCGGAGGGCTGTGAATATCCAAGCAGGGGCGGGCCAATCCGGGCGCGCTGGGGATGTTAACAGCTGGGGAGCGGGCCGGGCTGCGCTAGACCTGGGCTGTCCGGGAGAGAGCCCAGCCGCCCGGGAGGGAGCCCAGCGCGCTATGGCCGGGGCCGTGGGGGAAGCGGCGCTGCCGCCCATCGCCTCCTTCGCCAGCCTGCTGCCCGTGGAGGAGAAGCGGGCTCCGCTGCTCCACGTAGGTGCCGGGGGGCGCTGCCAGCCGGGGGGCGCCGCCAGCCGGGGGCGCCGGGTGGGGGGGGGAGAGTCTGTAGGGACCAAGGTACCGCCACTCCCCGCAGGGTTGGGGGCGGCGCCAGGGAAGTTTTTGTAGGGTCTCCAGCAACTCCAGGGTTGTGCAGAATGCGGGGGGGGCGGCCGGGCTGGGGCGGGGGGCGGCCGGGGCACGCTGCGGGGTGGGAGGGGGGGCTGTCAGGTGCGCTGGCGGCGGGGAGGGGGCGCGGCCGGGCATGGGAGTCCGTCACTCCTTTGGGCGCTGGGCGGGTTTGCGGTCAGGAGCTGGGCTCCCACGAGGCAGCGGCTGGCGGATGGGGGGACCCTGGGTGGCCCAGCACCCCCGGGGGGGGGGCGGTGGCTCCAGCTGACCCCGCTCCAGGGAGCCCGGGGTCACTGGTGCGCCAGGCGCGCCCTGCCCTGCCCTTCCGGGGGCTCCTCGCCAGCGAGCGCAACCCGTTCTGCTGGTTTGGGGATGAGCGTCTCCTCCGGTTCTGGGGCGCCCGGCCCCTGACTCCCCGTCTCCCCGCCCTGCAGCCCCGCTTCGCCGCCATGGAGGGCGGCCCCGCCGGGATCAAGAGGGAGGAGGACGACCTGGGCAAGTTCGTGGACTTGGATTTCATCCTGGCCCACACCAGCAGCCCGCAGCAGGCGGGCCCCGCCTACCCCCTGCCCGACACCCCGGAGAGCTGCTGCACGGAAGGCGACGGCTCCTACCCGCCCGGCAACAAGTTCGGGGCCCCCTACCCCGACAGCCGCAGCTACATGGCCGAGCTGCTCACCGCCGACCTGCCGGGCCCCTGCGAGCTGCAGCGGCGGGAGTACACGGAGCTGCGGGTCCCCGGCGGGCTGGGCCACCCGGCCATGGCCCGGCCGCTGCCCCCCGACCACCGGGCGCCGCAGGCGGGGGCCCGGATCAAGAAGGAGCAGCCGGAGGAGCAGGCCTGTATGCTGGGCATGGCGGGCGAGTGCCTGGGGCCAGGCGCCATGGACCACAAGCCCCTCATGATGCCCCCGCACGAGCAGCTCTACCCCCCACACCCCGGCTTCCCCCACCCCAGGGTGGGGCCCCCCGAGGAGATGGGGCCGGCGGGGGAGTGCCCCCTGCTGGGCGACCTGCACCCGCACCTGGGCCCCCAACACTACCCGCTGCCCCCGCAGCACTATCCGGCCCACTTCGCGGCCCACGGGCCGGCCCAGTTCCATGGACACTTCAGCGTGTTCCGGGAGCCGCTGAAGGCGCACCCCGGCCTGCACAGGATGCTGGTGACGCCCCCCAACTCGCCCGTGCTGGATTACTTCCCCGCCGGGGCGCCCCCCGAGGACTGCAAGCCCAAGAGGGGCCGGCGGTCCTGGGCCAGGAAGCGCACGGCCACCCACAACTGTGAATACCCGGGCTGCGGCAAGACCTACACCAAGAGCTCGCACCTGAAGGCGCATATGCGGACACACACCGGTAAGGCTGGCCCTGCTAGGGGCCCGCGGCGCTGGGGGGCCCTGCCCTCTCCCCGCCTCCTGGGGCGCACCGCGGGGCAGGGGCGAGTCACTCCTTGGGGGGCTGTGGGAGTTCCCAAGCCCCGCAGGAGCCCTGGGACAGAGGGAAGAGGACGGGAAGCTGGCAACGTAGAGGGGCTGGGCCCGACCCCCGCCGTCGGATTCCTCCCCGCAGCGTAGTTACTCCCATGGGCTGCATGAGGCGCGGCTGGGGAGACTTTGCAGGAGCGGGCCCGGGGGACGGACAGTACTTGGGGGAGGGCAGGAGCGGGCTCTGGGGAGGGGGGGGGACGCGATAGTGGCGGGTGAAAGAGCCAAAGTTGTGTCCCTTAAACTGAGGAGGGGAGGGGCCGGGGAACCGGTGCCCCCTTGGCTGCGGTTGCAGCTGGCGGCGCCCCGCTGCGTGCACCGGGCCTTGTTTGCAGCCAAGGAGATGGAGCGGCTGCTGGAAAGCCCAGGGGGGTTGGGAGCAGGCTCCTAGGCAGGGCAGTGCCCGGGCTGGCAGGCTAACGCTGTTCTGGTCTCTGCCCAGGGGGGTTGGGAGCAGGCTCCTAGGCAGGGCAGTGCCCGGGCTGGCAGGCTAACGCTGTTCTGGTCTCTGCCCAGGGGGGTTGGGAGCAGGCTCCTAGGCAGGGCAGTGCCCGGGCTGGCAGGCTAACGCTGTTCTGGTCTCTGCCCAGGGGAGAAGCCCTACCACTGCAACTGGGATGGCTGCGGCTGGAAGTTCGCCCGCTCGGACGAGCTGACCCGTCACTACCGCAAACACACTGGCCACCGGCCCTTCCAGTGCCACCTGTGCGAGCGGGCCTTCTCCAGGTCGGACCACCTGGCGCTGCACATGAAGAGACACATGTGATGGACAGAGCCGCCTCTGGGGACCCGCAGCTGGGCGGGGAGAGACTGAACGCTATTTATGAAGCCACAAAATATTTTCTTATTGATGCCACTAATTTATGTCGCTAGCGAGGTCTGGAAAAGAGCAAACACTCAGTATTTAAAGGTAAAACCAGCTGGATCTTCCACAGCCAGGTCTATAGAAATAGCTACCCAGGAAGTGCAGAGCCCAGGGTGTAGAATACTGTACAGAATGAGCGGAGGCATTTTTAAAGGGATTTTTAAGCTTATACATTTTGTTCCAGTTTGATTTTTTTTTTAATAATGTTGTAATGTAAAGACTGGGCAGCATTGGCGTGGATCTGGGTTAAAGTGGGACGGACGCGTTTTGTAAAAAGAAAATCCAGCTCAAATAAACAAGCCATCTTCTGTAGGTTTCTAGCACCTTTTTAAGCCTTCTTCAAAGGAAGAGCGGAATTGCCAGCGTAGGTGGGACTCCTGGGCCATCGGCTCTGGTGTCACGCCGTGCTCCGCTCCCCACCCAGCCAGTCGGGGACTGGCTTACGCCCTGAAGTAGGATCACTTCCCAGTGGTGTGTTGGCAGTAACTCTGCTGCCCACTCCTATGACGTATCGGCATGTTCAAGGCCCAGCGGCTGCAATCCCAGATTGCTCACTGCCACTTCTTTGTAAAGTGAATTTCTAACCCAAAATGTGACTGGCGTGCGGAAAGAAAATGACCCACGCTGTAAAATCTCATGCCTTGTGAAGCAATCTCGTGATTGTTTGGGAGCCTGACTTCAGGACTATGAATACTGCTGAGCAGCACAAGGCCAGGGATCTACCTTTATACCCTTCCAGGGAGCGTTCCAAATCCTACTGGAATTGCCATAGCCCCAAGACAGCCCGTGCCTCACGGGGGGACACAGTCGGCAGCCTGCTCCCGTGCCTGTACAAAGCAGCTGCATCTCTCGAAAACCTTCATATTTGCAATGTCTGTTCTGGATTTGTCTTGTCATTTTTGACTGTGTATTTTTGTTTGTTCCCCTTCTGCTGAAGGGTGAGCAGGAAACCAGGTACTGCTGCAGCCCCCTTTCCAAGCTGCTTCCTAAAACTCTTATTTGTGTAAAGAGAACAAGGAGTTTTGTCCACCTATGAATTCCCAGGTCTCTGCTGTACTTGAAACCTTCTTTCTAAAAGAGCAGGCCAAGGAGGCTTGATGTGCAGCTTCTGCAAAGTGCACTGAGTTGGAAGAGAGCAGGGATATAGACTAGTTGGGTTTTATAGAACTTGTCTTCCTGCTGGGACTCCCAGCTCTGAGAAGAGCCTGTTCCTCTCTGTGTATATTGTCAATTAACATTTCTCTGCTTGGGCACGCTAGCTCTCCCCCACTTTGAAATGTTACTTTTCTTTATATGCAAACCATTGCGCTATTGTGATCAGATGTAAAATAAATGAATACACCTCAGCAGCAGGAGCCTGCAGAGTTTACTTTGAAACTCTCCCCAGGAGTGAGAAGCAGATGGCAGGGTTTACTGTTTGTCAATATTATGAGCCTCAATGCTGATTTCTATTTAAAATAGCCATAAAGGAATCTGTGGCAACGGCCTTTGCCTTGTCTCGGCATCTTCCATGAGTGCCAGCACTCAGAGCAAGCATTAATGCGTCCCTTATTTCACCACTCTCTGCCTCTGTTTCCCCATTCTACAGATGTGGAAATGAAGGCACAGAGGTGAAGTGACCTGGTCACGGCAAGTCAGTGCCAAAGATGAACTGAACCAAGGAGATTTGACTCCTGGTCCTTTTCTCTACCCACTAGATTCCCCCCCCTTCTAGAGCTGTGAATGGAGCCCAGGAGTCCTGACCCCCTTGTCAGGTGGTTACAGCCCAGGATGCTTCCCCCCGCCCGAGCTCCTGTGTCCATGCCAGGTGTGTGGCTCAGTGGAACGCCCCAACCAAGCTACCAGGCAGCTTCACTCCACTCAGGTGCTGAGGTTTCCTTATGCATTAATAGGTGGTGACTAAGCGCTGGCTTGTTGGCAGGTCCCAGGCCCAGCAAGCAGGTCTGTCTCCATCCCTCCCACAGCCAATTACCCGTGATGCACGCACTGCTCCGAAGGCTGGGGCTTGCACAGACCTGACGGGTAAAATCCAGCTCCTTGCAGAGGTGAGTCCTGCAATGCTGGCTGCTTTGTGAGTTCCGGCCCCTGGAAACTCGACTGGGCTGAGCCCTGTAGCACAGGGGATGAGCCGGTCACAGCCTGTAGGGCTGGCCCAGCTGTGCCCTAGAGAGCTGCCCATCTCCCACTGGCAGCCTAGTGACTGGGAGCATTGGGTCCTTCCTAGCCCACCAAGGATCTGCCCGGGGAGAGGGGAGTATCGCGGGGTGCTGAAGTGACTGTTCCAGGGTGTCAGCTAGAAATGGCAGTGCCAGGACAGCTGGGCAGGGGACTCCAGGACATTCATTTGGCTTTCGGGTGCTGGGGATTTGTCCTGCCTGCAAATCCTTCCACACCCTGGGGTTCCATTCTGCCTCACTGCTCACAGCCCTGAGGGGGCATTTAAAATGGGGGGGCATTTCTGTGCTAAGGGACAGCCGGGGCATATGCTTAATGAGCCTCCCAGCTTCCCCTGTCTTAGTGGATGCAGGTTCCCTGCTGGCAGAGACCCCCAAATTTGGGCCAGGGTGATCCAGCGGGCCTGGCTCTGGAGGGAGGGAGGGGTGGATTTCCTGGCCTATTGGTTCAAGGGCACCTGCCTCGCCTCTGCTGGCCACTCTGGCAAGGAGCCAGGCTCCAGGGGAAACCTCCAGCACTGGTGAAATTCTCCAGTGACTTGTTCAGAAATGTCAAGCTGCCGACTTACAGGGAAGGTGTGGGCTGTTTGACTAAGCAGTGAGTCAGGCCGGCAAAGCCAGCTGGGTGTTGTGTGTATAATCCCTGGCTCTGGGGTTTATTTCCAGGGGAAGGGGGGTGTGTGTGTGTGTGCGTGCATGTGGGTGGGTGCATAAACTGTTTCTACAGCCTTCCTGTAACATTGGAGTGGCTGGGTCTGGTGCTTGCTGTCCCAGCCTTCCTAGGCACCTGCCAAGCCAAAGTGACAGCTCACCTTCCCCGGTGAGCCGAGCTGAACCCTGCAGGGAGGAAAAACCAGTTCCAGGTCCCCTTTCATCATCCCATGGGCCTGCCAGGCAGTGCGGGGGAGGGAAGCGCAGTGCAAGGCCCAGACTTTTTCCTGCCTGCCACTTAGCCCTTCGTTTGCAGGGTGAGCTGCCCACAGGCGCTGACAAGTTTGTTCCCGTGGCCTTCATGAACCCAAAACAGCTGGGAGAGGAGCCTTCCAAGGGGGCAGCCAGCGGGAGATGTGGAGGTCGGGGCCAGCCTCACACCCTGGAGCCTGCCAGCCTGTCTCTAGCCACAAGACCCCCACCAGTAGCCATGTGCTGCCGCTGGGCTTGAGCCCAGAATGGGCTGCAGGCGAGGGGGGGGAAGCTCACGTCACACATGCTGAGGCCACTGATGCTCCCTTTGGGAGCTTGGGGTCTTTCTTGGGGATGTTTGACTTTGCAATTTCAGGTCAAAACCTTGGTGAGGTGAAACGGGGCCCTGGGGCAAGACACTTGATGATAACCCTGCTCTGGCTATTCAGACGGTCAGCTCTTCCTTGGTGCGTGTACAATGCCTGCTCAGGTGGGCATTCCTGGGGCTGTAATGCAAATCACCACCACAGGTTTAATTCACTAATAAAACCCCCTGATTCTGAGCCAGCCCCAGAAAGCAGCAAAGCTGCAGATTCACTGAGCTGCTTTGGTAACATTTGTAAGCTCTTCCCCCGCCCCCTACATCTGCAGGGGGACCCAGGTCTCAGGGAGATGGGGAAGGTCCTGTGGCATGTCCCCTTTGGCTGAGTCAGCATCAGGCTCGCTACAGCATTTGCTGCCCTAAAGCCAGCGGCTGGAGCAGAGGAGACAGGAAGCCGCCGGTGGAATCTTGGGGGTGACACAGTGAGAGAGGAGATGGGTGAATGGGGGGGCAGGCAGGGGGCTGAGGGTCTGTGGTAGGGCGGGCAGGTAGACAGTGAAATCCCCAAACCATGTCCCAGTCTGGCTGGGCCAGCCCAGCTCCTGCCCAGACAGTCATAGAATCATAGAATATCAGGGTTGGAAGGGACCTCAGGAGGTCATCTAGTCCAACCCCCTGCTCAAAGCAGGACCAATCCCCAATTTTTGACCCAAATGGCCCCCTCAAGGATTGAACCCACAACCCTGGGTTTAGCAGGCCAATGCTCAAACCACTGGTTTGTCTTTCTGCCCCATTTTGCAGCAGGTCTCTCAGTCCAGAGGGGCTGTGAAGGAATCAGACCTGGCCTGTTTCCTCCCAGAAGGAAACAGAACGAGGAGCTCAGTGGAAAACGCGGCCCCCGGGCTGCCCCCTTTGCCAAGGAGCACCAGCAGGGAGTGAACAGGCTGCTGTCCCCATGAGAACTCCCCCAGCTCTGCCATTCATGCCAGCGGCTCAGCTGACAACTGACCACAACACCCAGAGCCGATCTGAGTCTTACCAGGTGCTGAGGGGACTGAGGGGACGGGATGAGGGATGCCCTTCAGCAGTCCAGCAGAGTGAGGAGGGCCGTGAGCACCCTGCTTCCCCCCAGAGCCGCTGCCCCTTTCGACCAAGGGTCTCAGCTGGGGCTGGGGGAATCCAGGTGTCTGGCCCCACCAGCCCTGGCTCCTCAGTCTGTTAATGAACTGCCCAGCAAAGTCTGGTTTAGGGGGCTGGTTGGAGAGAAACAACCCAGTAAAACTAACACATTTATTTGAGCATAAGCTTTTGTGAGCTACAGCCGATGCAGTGAGCTGTAGCTCACAAAAGCTTATGCTCAAATAAATTGGTTAGTCTCTAAGGTGCCACAAGTCCTCCTGTTCTTTTAACCCAATAAGAGTTGCTATTAACGGGATGATGTCGGATTGGAGGGAGGTCTGCAGCGCGGTTCCCCCGGGATCTGTTCTGGGTCAGTGTCTAACATCGTTATTAACAACCTGGGTGTAGGAATAGAGAGAACTGATCAAGTCTGCAGAGGACACGAAGCTTTGGGGGGTTGCCAACACTTTGGAGGAGCTAAAGTTCAGAGGGATTTTGAGCTGGGCTGTAGACGACACAATGAAATTCCACAAAGACAAAAGGAAAGTGCTACGCTCGCCACGCAGGCCTGTGTGCAGCCACTCCAGGCTGCCAGGACAACGACGCCTTTTCACTCAGCAGCTTTGGGCGGCTCAGAATCGGCTCTGCTTGTTGGAGGGCCTCGGGTAGGCCCCCCCAGAGCCTGCCCGGGCACCGGGGGCAGCTGGGATCTCGTCCTTCCTGTGCATCATCAGCAGAACCCCTCCAGCCAGAGCAGACACCCCTGCTGTTTCTCCCTTCGCGCTCTGGAGTCCAAGGCCACCAGGCAGGTACTTCAGAGCTTCTCAGGCCAGAAGGGACACTGAATGTGGAGCCTGATCTGCATAATCCAGCCCAGCGAGTCCCCCATCCCACCTGGCTGAGCTCCACGGGTCTGGCTGTGGGGTGGTGAATCTGCCATATCTCCTGGCTAGTTGCCTGGGGAGCTGTAACCATCTTTGGCAATTCTCTCACCCCTTGCACCTCAGTTTCAGAACCCCTCCCTGTGCGGGGCAAGTGTCGTAATCCTCATTTTACAGCCAGGGAAACGGAGGCATGGGGGATAGTGACTTGACCAGAGTCACACAGCTTCTTCTGGGGCTGGAAGCCAGGAGCCCTGAGTCCCAGCCCCTTGTTCGAGTCATTCGATGGCCCATCATTTGGGCCCATGGGTGATAAGAGCAAACTGCACCCCGCCAAACCGAGAAACTGGATGTGAAGCTGGGGCTGATCAAAGGAAAACAAGCCCGAGGCAGTGAGCGGCCTAGAGGTGGTGAGAGGGGAGCAGCAGCCATATCAGCTGGGCTGGGAGCCCTTCTGCGGTGCTGGAGCTCTGGGGGTGTGGGCGGGGGTGCAGGGAGCAGGGGTGGGTGTGTGTGTGTGTGTGTGTTGGCAGCTGCCCATGGGGGCCAGCCACACGTGGCTGCTGAGCTGTCAGCAGGGAAATCAGGCCCCTTTGTGGCTGGTCTCCGCCATGCGCCTGCGAGCCTCAGGGCCGTCACCTGGAAGCACTGCCCCTGCTGAGTCTGAGCCTGTCTGCGGCCCAGCGACCCCTCCTCCCTGGCTGATGCCCCCACCCTTCGGCAGTGCCGGAGACAGCCCCAAGGGCAGTGACATGCTGGCCGCAGAGGAGCCTTGGCTAGAACCCCCTCCCGCATCTCTCGCTTCGCTCCGGGGGGGCCGTAGGGCTGTGAAAAGGCTCCAGATGCACAGCCCCGGAGACCGCGGCGCCGGGGTCGCCTCCCCCAGGCTCTGGGCCCTGCACCCCGTGTGGCTCTGGAGGTACCAGGGTGAGGAGATCCAGCACCAGGGCCCACACAAGGCTTGGCCTCTCTGCTGACATGGGGCTGGCTTGCGCCAGTGGGGCTGGTTTGATGTGGGCATCTGCAGTGAGAATCACCACCCATCCCCGGCTGGGCTGGGCTGGGCATCAGGAGCGGCAGGTCTCGAGTGGATCCCAAGCAACGCCCAAAAGGGACAGCCCCACAGCCCAGCCCCAGTGCCCTGGGCCCCTCGCGGCAGCTCTGTCAAGGGCTGGATCACTCCCGCCAAAGCGTGTGCCCCTTTGCCTCTCTGCGCTGCACCTGCCAAGTGCTAAGGGCAGTCTGACGCTGGCTGAAGGGCAGAGCTGCCCAGGTCGACCGTCAGGGATTCTTGTCTGGCGGTTCCCCCTGGCACGGGAGCTCCCCTGCAGCTGATTCCAACGGCCACCAGGACGCCCCACTGCCCAGGCTGCTCTCATCTGGGCCCAGACCTGGGTGCTTTGGGGTGTAGCTGGAAAGCGAGATCCCCAGCCAAAGGGCTGAGGGAAGAATCTGAGAGTTGGGGCCCAAATGGACCCCAGCTCCCCAGCTTGTTAGAGGGTCTCCATGCAGGCTGTGAAGTGCCTTCCATTGTTCCCCGGAGCAATGCGCGTCCCCTGCCCCACTGAACCGATGGCAAGCGCCTCCTCTCTAAGACAGGGCTTGAGAGCCCCAGCAGTGGGGGGCTCCTGGCTGCCCCAGTCCCAGCCTCTCCCAGTGGGGGGCGGTGCTGTGGGGAGCAGGGCAGGAGCACTGGCTGGTGGCACAGATCCCAGCTACTCCAGCCCTGGCCTCTCCCAGCAGGGGGTGCTGTAGGGACCGGGGCACGGGTGCTGGCTGGGGTTGGGGGCAGATCCCAGCTGCCCCAGTGCCAGCCTCTCCCAGCAGGGGGTGCTGTAGGGAGCGAGGCAGGAGCGCAGGCTCAGGTGGGTCCGGCTCCTGGCAGGGATCCTGTGGAGGAATGCCCCATGGGAGTTGGCATCCGCAGCGCTGCAGAGAGCGGGGCTGTTCCTGGCAATCATTTTGCCATCCATTTCCCGGTGTCCCTGATATGGCGGTGAATGGGGCGTCGTGATAACGCGCACGCACATAGGAGCTGCCTCACCCTTAGGAAACATTTGGCTTTGGGCACCTGAGTCCACCAGGGGAGCGATAACTCTCAGCCTCACACTCCCTGCTCGGCGTTTGCACCTGGCCCTATCGCGTCTTAGTCACACACTGAGGGTTTGTTCATCGCTGGGCCCCAGATAACCTCCTCCTGCCTCGCTGGGCCAGGGTTTGCACTCAGCCTCCTCCGCTAGGAGGGCAGAGGTCCACAGGTGCGCGCGCACGCCAGGGCCTGGGGGAGAGACTTGTCTCTCCCAGGGCCCAGCAGGGCCCGGTGACCAGCGTGCGTGTGCGTGGAGGTGAAAGAAGTGACACTTCCTTGGCCTAATAACTGTTGGATCTCACAGCACAGCAGGCCTGGCCTGGTTTGTACAGGGATAGGGAGACGCCCTGGGGGAAGCCAAGGGCTGCAGGGTGGGCACGGTACTGTCCCCACTGAGTCAATGCTGGATCCAACGTCTCTGCAGGGTGCTAGGGGGTGTGGGGCTGAGGGAGCCGTGCGGGGCCTCTGTAGGGGATGCTCTCCCCGCAGAGTCAGTGCTGACCCCAGTGTGGCAAGGGGGGCACTACGAAAGAGGTGCTCCTTTGCCTGAACTCTAAAACCAATTCCCTGGTCACTCGATTCTGTGCCGGGCGGAGGTGGGGTGTGAGGGGGAGCGGGCTACGCAGCGACCTGGCCAGGTTGCAATATGGATAATCCGTTTTCCCCCTGCACTTCCCGTTGGCAGTCAGGGAGCGAGTCTTCACTGCCAGACAGTTTAACAGCTGCTGAGCTCCACTCCAGAAGTGGCTTCATTTCAGCAGCGAGCAAAGTCTGTGCAAATCTGGGAGCTTGGCAACAAAGAACTACAGAAATGTCCCATTCTTCTGAGCTCTTAGGGCCTGGGTGTTGGCATATCAGGCAGAGGTACCCCACAGGAGGCGCTGCCCCTCCTGGGGTATTTCCAGCCCCCTACGTGGCTGTGGGACTAACCCAGGAAGAGATACATGCATGCACGCTCATGTCCCCGGCCAGGCACCTGTTAGCCACGCACAGTGGTGCCGGCCCTCTGGAAGCACCCTCTCGGTGCCACGCAGGTGTCTCTCAAAGGCAGGAACTGGCCTGGCCAGACAAACCGATTGTTTCCCAGTAGTCTGTGTGGCTGCAGGGTTCCCTGTGCCAGATGCCAGCACAGGGCGCCAGGCAGGGCCCAGGAGGTAACCCGGCGGCAGGCTGGAGGGAAGGCCGTGGTTTCAGGCTTAGCTGGCTGCTGTAGGATCATCACACGGTCGAGAGGGCTGGAGATTAGGACAGAGGCGGCAATTCCCTTTCAGTCCGGACCGCGCTTGACTCCAGAAACAGTCCCCCGGGGTGGGGGGTGTGGATCTTAGCACCTGCCTGCTTAGGGGGAGTTGGAAATGGTGCACAGTCCCCCCACCCTCACATCTATCTTCCCAGAGGGGTGAGCCTGGTTAGGTTTGTCAGCAGCACCAACCCCTGGAGTTGACCAGGACGGACAAGTCGATCTTGTGAGTGGGCTGGGAAATGTGCCGGATGTTTTTGCAGAGCTGAGCTGGCTTCCCAACCAAGGGCCGAGCTCTTTCCACAGCCCCGCCCACGCCAAGTGTTAATTACAGGCCGTCTCACAACCATGCCCAGGAACCCAGTGGTGCCTAAGCAGTCAGAGACCACGAGTCAGGCCCAGTTTGCACTGGGGTCACATCTTCCAGCTTTTCTCAGCAGAGACAAGGGCTAGAAACTTACCCCTCCCCTTTTGGGTTTTTTTTTTTTTTGAGATTCTCACAAAATCCCAGGACTCCAGGAGCTGGGCCTTGCAGAAAAACACCAACTATTTCCAGACTCGTGACAAAACTGGGGGAATTGAGAACACCGGGAGTCCCAGTCAAAGCTCAGGCCCCCTTGTGCTGGGCATTGCACGTGCAACTTAGCAGAGCCGGTCCCTGGCCCAGAGAGGCGTCAGACAGGACAGGAGAGGCAGGCAACGTACACAGACAGGGTGCAGCTGCAGAAGGAACAGAGCTTGGCAGCGAACCAGAAGCCCGAGCTGAGTAAAACAGTCTGGTAAACCCCCCTTTCCCTCCCCAGGCCTCCGCCGATTTAGCTGTCATGGGGTGAAAACACCAGAAGCTGCCAGGGCCCAGTCCATCCTGGGCTCCCCCGGGGCAGTGGAACCAGCAGCAGCACCAGTGGGAGGCCTTGCTCAAAACCTCTAGGGAGGCTGCACCACCCTTGCAGAGGGCTGCACCCCTCTGTAGTGGCTGGTACCCAGAGGGTAACTGCCTAGTACTGCTGCCAGCCAAGGGAGATGCCTATGTGCTGAAGGTTGGGGAGTCCAGTCCTGTGGCTGGCCCCTGTGAAGGGGAAGGGGGCTTACGCAGACATGGCCCAAGCCACTACAGATCCCTCCATCCCTCCAGCGTTCACCTTCCCTTCAAGCTCTTCCCCTCACCCCCGCCAGTGAGCAGGGACGATGCCCCCTTTCAGTGGGGCAGTGGAATGGGGGTTGCCACCACAGGGACACTGGATGCCTGTTTGTCCAACACCCCCGGGGAGCAGGGTCTTAATGGGTGCCCAGGCAGGCAGGCCCTTGCCACGCCTTGCAGCAGAGCCGAGTGCTGGCATGGGGAGGGGGCAGCGGTGAGAGGGGGAGGGTGCCCAGGGAGGGTGGCTCAGGCTGGCCGGCTTGCTCTCCCGGGGAGCCCTTCAGCAGAGCACCTGATCCGATGGGTCGAGCACATCCTCAGAGGGGAGGGTCTCACCTGCTTGGGGAGGGGCCAGGGCCAGGCTGGCGAGGGCTGGGAGCTCTCAGCTCCCAGTGGGGGACTGGCATTGAGGGGGCGGGGCCGGGATGGGAGAAGGTGGCTGCAGAGACCATGCATAGCAGGCCTGTCCTGGGCTGAGCCGTGGGCTGCTCCAGATCAGACACACACGCCCTACTCCGGAGTCACCCAGCCCCACAGGGTGAGGGAGGGGAAATCTCTGCCCATCACAGCTTCCTCCTGGTGGGGACGGCTCCAGCTGCTGACCCAGCCTGCAACATGCATGCCCGGGCACCCGGGGGTGGGGTGCAGCCCAGGGCCAGGCATTCAGGGTCAGAACACAGGGAACGACCCCGAGCTGGGGCCCGCGCAGTCCAGGGATTGTCACCCTGGGGCTCTGCCCCCGTCTCCATTCCCCCCGCGACTTGGCCCTGAGGTCCGGCACAGCCAGGGCAGCCCTGTGGTAGCAATGGCAAGGGGGAGCCCCAGCTGAGAACTCAGCCCTGGATTCGGGAGGAGGGGGGAATGCCCAAGTGGGTTCTGGACAGTGCCAGCTGGGCTGGAGAGACGGCGCACAGCCTGGCCCAGTAATGGGAGCGGGGGAGCAGAGCTGACACCGGGGGGGCCAGGCATCCCGTGGGGCATGCATTGGGGCGGACGGGAGATGGGCTCAGCTGACTGCAATGGCAGAGAGCAAGGGCTGCAGTGGGGCAGGATGGGCGGCTGGGAAGCACGTGGCAAGGACCTGTGCCTTGCAGGGGGCTGGGCAGTGCTGGGATCACCTGGGCATCATCATCACAAGGACAGCTGGGATGGGTGAGCGGAGGGGCTGCTTGGGAGACGACCGTGCCATGAGTGAGGCTGGGAATGGCCCAGGGTATGGGTGCACTGGACGGGCAAAGCCACTTCCTGCAGTGGGCCCACAACCATCAGGGCAGGTGAACGATACCTGCAGCGTGTGTGTGTTTGTGTGTGTGTACGTGTACATGGGTGTATGCACATACGTGTGTGCATGCATGCATGTGTGGGTGTTTTCCAACGTGGGTAACCATGCCAGCACCCCCACCCCAAAATGCACTTGGCCTCCCAAGAGACCCTGCATTCCACAAGCCCCTTGAAAGAGAGGGGGGGAGGTAATGGGGTTAATGGGATTAGGTCAAGTTCACTTGGGGGGTTTGCATTTACAAGGACCCTTCATTGTCCCCCAGATCCTATTACCCGCCCCTTTCGCTAGGCAACCGCAAAATGTAACAGCCTGGTGACTCAGAGCAAAAGTGCTGTAAGGACCCCAAATTCAAGAGCAGAGCTGGGCCTGAGTCTCCTGGCTGCCATGCTCCTGGGCTACCCAGATCAAACAGCCCCACACACAGTGAGGAATGTCATATCAGTGTCAACCATTCAGATAAGGGCTCGCTCCAGTGGGGTTTGAACTGGGGGCCTGAGGCTGGACAATGACCCAGCTTGTCTGAGTATTTGGAGACCTGGTCTGTATCAGGGTGCCCTGGAGCCCACAATTCCAGGCCTGGGGAAACTGCGGGGAAACTTTGGCTTTTGTTTTAAAAACCTGCCTTCTAAGATGACCCAAGCTCAAACCAGGGCTGTGGTGTCCACAGAGCCAGAACTTAACACCTAGGGTGCTAATTGCCCCCTTTATCTCAACAGGCTGTGAAGTGTTTCACTGTGCTATTTTAGCAGAAGCCTCCAGCTAATGTGTTTATCCCACAAGTCCACAATGCCTCTCCACCTTCTGTGATACACATTTGTGGGGCCACCACAAAACCTGGCAGCTAAGGGCAGTGTAAGGGGCCTGGAATGTAATAGCTACGCACGGTCGTGCGGTGCCTCATGGTCTCGGACACCATCCGATGGTCCAGGGACATCTACATCGAACACATCACCGGCCACCGACAGCACCAGGAGGTGTGAGCCGGTACGACATCGTGGATCCACTATGGGAAAGGGACTGAGAGACTTTTTCCATTGGACCATACGAACCGGAAGCATAAACTCACTGAACATTAATTCCCACCAAATGAGGGTAAATCCATCCTCATCATCGTATCCACTCATTATACTCCACACCTGAACATAGCCATTATATGGACAACGTACCCCCATATCTCAATGTCTGTACTTTGACCCGTTAGCCTTTTACCCCCAATCGGGGAGATTGCAGATTATGTATTCCTTACGCCACCCATTCCTAAACCGAATTTCGCACCCCTTGATAATCTGTACCTTATTCCCTGATAACCAGAAACTTCTATGCTTAAACTCTATACCATTTTCTTTTTACTTCAACATCATCTTAATAAAATTATTAAATCTGTTCAAAGGGCTGGTGTGCTGACTGGGGTTTGCACTTTGATATTCAGTTCAGTAAGGCCCAGATCCCCACAGAGGTTTAGCTGACTACCACTCTGAAACCTAACTCCAGTTGATTTCCCTTTGAGGAGCTGCGCCTAAACCCCTTTATCTGGTAGCATGTCCCCCTCTGTCTTCTCTTCTCCAGACTAAACAAACCCAGTTTCAATCTTCCCTCAGAGGTCATGTTTTCTAGACCTTTAATCATTCTTGTTGCTCTTCTCTGGACTTTCTCCAATTTGTCCCCATCCTTCCTGAAATGTGGCACTCAGAACTGGACACAATACTCCAGCTGAGGCCTAATCAGCGCGGAGTAGAGCGGAAGAATTACTTCTCATGTCTTGCTTACAACACTCCTGCTAATACATCCCAGAATGATGTTTGCTTTTTTTTGCAACAGAGTTAAACTGTTGACTCATATTTAGCTTGTGGTCCACTATGACCCCTAGATCCCTTTCCACAGTACTCCTTCCTAGGCAGTCAGTTCCCATTTTGTATTTGTGAAACTGACTGTTCCTTCCTAAGTGGAGTACTTTGCATTTGTCCATATTGAATTTCATCCTCTTTACTTCAGACCACTTCTCCAGTTTGTCCAGATCATTTTGAATTATAATCCTATCCACCAAAGCACTTGCAGCCGCTCCCAGCTTGGTATCAAACTTTATGGGTACATTCTATGCCATTATCTAAATCACTGATGATTTACTTGGGGGATAGCATTCAAGCCACCAACCCAGGGCAAGACACAAGAAATAATTCTTCCGCTCCACTCCTCACTGATTTGGCCTCAGCCGGAGTATTATGTCCAGTTCTGGACACCACATTTCAGGAAGGATGTGGACAAATTGGAGAGAGTCCAGAGCAACAAAAATGATTAAAAGTCTAGAAGACATGAGCTATGAGGGAAGATTGAAAAATGGGTTTGTTTAGTCTGGAGAAGAGAAGACTGAGAGGGGACATGATACCAGTTTTCAAGTACATAAAAGGTTATAAGGAGGAGGGCGGTAAATAGTTCTCCTTAACCTCTGCGGATAGGACAAGAAGCAATGGGCTTAAATTGCAGCAAGGGCGGCTTAGGTTGGACATTAGGAAAAACTTCCTCTCACGAAAGCTTATGCTCAAATAAATTTGTTACTCTCTAAGGTGCCACAAGTCCTCCTTTTCACTCAGGGTGGTGAAGCACTGGAACAAATTACTGAGGGAGGTTGTGGAATCTCCATCACTGAAGGTTTTGAAGAGCAGGTTAGACAAACACCTGCCAGGGATGGTCTGAGTCCTGCCAGGGGACGGGACCAGATGACCTCTCGAGGTCCCTGCCAGGCCTACGATTCTACGATCTTCTCATTTAAACAAAGCTGCCCCAGAACCTGCCGCCTCGTCCGAGGGTTGCACGGGCCTGTTGTGCAGTGTAGGGCCAGGCCCTGCCAGGCCCAGGAAGCAGTAGCAGCCGCATGGCTTGAGTCAGTTGGGTGCCCTGTGGAACAGAGGGCAGGCAAGGACCCCGCACAGGCCTGGCTGTCCCCCAAACAGGCCCTAGCTGTGAAGCAATCAGCCAGCCCCTGCTGGCACTGAGTCAATCAGTGGGACAGAAACTGGTTAATTCCACAGGGGTGTCATACAATGGCAGCCCAGCAGCCTTGGGGATTTCAAAGCACCTGCCCGGTTTAGCTTGAAGTGATTCAATCAAGCCATGAATGAAAAGCAGCTTGAACTAAGAAGCAGCGTGAACCACAGCTCTGCAGGCCTGAGGGGCAGGGGCAGGGCCAGCTCCCCTGAATGCAGGTTTAAACACAGTGTGAGGTGCACACCTGGGGCCCCCACCTGCTTCCAGGGCAGAGCAGCTCCCTCAGGGATGCACGAAGTGCCAGGGCCTTGACAGTGCAACTCTGCTCAACTTCAGGGGCGCCCTCTGTTTCTCGTCTTTCCCCATCCTCTCTCCCGGTTTCTTCTCCTGTCCCCTCCTGCAGTAACGAACTCCTAACTTCCACCCTCACTTCCACTGGGGGCTTAACCCCCACCCTTTCCATCTGCTGAAGGCTCAGCAATGAAGCGGTTAATGCTGACATGTCACCACCCCAGGAAAACCGCTCGGGAGCAGGGCAGTTCAGCCTGTAGAATCTTTTCCCAGGCTGGCTGCAGACTCAGGCAAACATCACTGGGCCAGTTACACTCAGTTCACATTTGGAAAGTCTCCCCTCCCCCACCTTGAAAGGGCAAAGGCTGGATGGAAACATCCATTTTCAAACCAAGAGCTGGGAATCTGCAGCCTGAAATGCCACAGGGGTCAGGAGCAGCCCGGCGACTGACACTACTGGCCTATCTGGATTTATCACCATTGTTACCTGTATTGTCCCAGTACTTAGGAGCCCGATGGTTGGACCAGGACCCCATTACGCCAGGGGCTGTACAAACAAGAACACAAAGACCAGCCCTGCCCCAAGCAGCTTACAACTGAAGGCCAGGTCTATGCTGCAAAGTTTCCCCCACACACATATATTGGTCAGGAGTATGGAAAAATCCACCCCACAACTGTACTATGTGCTAAAAGGAGGAAATTAAACTAGGGTCAAAGGGGACAGATGACAAAAACCCACATGTAGGTCTATTAAAAAAAAAAAAGTGACCTTAACAGAGGGCTGAATGTTGGGGGAGGGAGAAATGGAAAATTACAACAGAGTCGTAGGAGCAACAAGAGGGAAACCTGTTAGAATCTGCTCAACATCTTAGATGTCTACAGACAAACACAAGTAGTATGGCGAATACACAGGAAGAACTGGATGAATTAGTCCATAATATAAATTATGACTTAAGTGGCACCACAGAGATTTCGTGGGATCAGCCTCATGATTGGCATGTTGGTATGGAGGGGTACAGCTTGTTAAGGAATGCCAGGGAGGGGGGCTGAATTATGCATTGAGACTGTATGCACTTGTTCTGAGATCCAGCAGGACGGGAGAGGCAGACCAGTTGAAAGTCTCTGGTAGGAACAGGAGGACTTTACCTGGACATCTGCTGGTGAAGCAAAATGGCAAAACACGGAATGTCAGTACGTTTTTGGAATGTGTTGGAATGGTTGGGTTCCGGCAGTGAAGGAAGTAACCAGGGGGCAGCTAATTTAGACTTGTTTCTGACCAACAGGGAGGGATTAGTGGTGAATCTGAAGTTTGAAGGAAATTTGGGTGACAGTGACCATGACATGAGACATTTCATGATCCTAAGGAAAGAAAGAAGAGAGAGCTGCAGAGTAGGGCAGCTGATGTCCAATAAGCAGCTTTTAACCATCTCCACAAAATGGTAGCTCAGGTCCCATAGGAAGAAATTCTTAGGGATAAAGGAGATCTGGCAGTTTCTCAGGGAGACAATATTAAAGATGCAACAGTAAACTTTCGCATGCAAAGGAAAGATAGGAAGAATAGTAAGAGGCCCCATTAGAAGCTCTTTAATGACCTGAAAAAAAAATCAAAAGGAACCCTTCAGAAAGTGTAAACATAGACTAATTGCTAGAGAATAGTACAAAAGAACAGCACAAGCATGTAGTGACAAAATCAGCCAGACCAAGGCCGAAAATGAGTTACTCCTGGCAAGGGACATAAAAAAGCCATAAGAAAAGGTTTTATAAATGCATTAGGAGCCAGACCAAGACAAAGGAAGGTGTAGGTCTTCTACTGAGGAGGGAAGGAGAGCTAACAATGGATGATATCAAGAAGGCTGGGGTGTTTAACGCCCATTTTGCTTCAATCTTCACTAAAAAGGTAAATTGTGACCAGGTACTTTAACACAATTAATATTAACATCAAGGGGGAAGGAATGCAAGGCACAATAGGGAAAGAACATGTTAATGAATAGTTAGATAACAGCTGTATTCAAGTTGGAAGGGCCTGATAAAATTCATTCTAGGGTATGGAAGGAAATAGCTGAAACAATTTCAGAACATTAGCAACTATCTTTGAAAGAACTCATAGCAGACAGGTGAGATCCCAGAGGCCTGGAGAAGGGCAAACATTGTGCCTATCTTTAAAAAGAACTTGGGGAATTATAGACCGGTCAGGCAAACTTCAATACCTGGAAACAAATTATGAAACAATTTGCAAGTGCCTAGGGATACTAGATGTATAAGGAATAGCCAGCATGACTATTATGAGTCAAGAACAAATCCTGCCAAACCAACCTAATGTCCTTGTTTGACAGTGTTACTGACCTCATGGATATGGGGGAGGCTGTAGTTGTGAGCTAGCCTGATTTCAGCAATGCTTTTAACACAGTCCCACATGGCATTCTCATAAGCAAACTAGAAAAATGTGGTCTAGATGAAATTACTATGAAGTTAGGTGCAAAATTGGTTGAAAGAGCATACTCAGAGTAGTTATCAGTGGTTCGCTGTCTAACTGGGGGGAACGTTTCTAGGGAGCTCCGGCAGGGGTCAGTCTGGGTCTGGTACTCCTCTACATTTTCATTAATTATTTAGATAATGGAGTGGCGAGTATGCATACAACATTTGCAGATGACACCAAACTGGGACGGGCTGCAAGCACTTTGGAGGCCAGGATTAAAATTCAAAACAACCTTGACAAACTGGAGAACTGGAAATCGACAAGATGAAATTAAATAAAGACAAGTGCAAAGTACAACACATAGGAAGAAAAAATAAAATGCACAACTACAAAATGGGGAATCACTGGGTAGGTGGTGGTGCTTTTCAGCTTGGAAAAGAGATGACTAAGGGGGGATATGATAGTGGTCTCTAAAATGGGGTGGAGAAAGGAAATAAGGAAGTGTTATTTACTCCTTCTCATAACACAAGATCGAGCGGTCACCAAATTAATGGGCAGCAGGTTTAAAACAAACAAAAGGAAGTATTTCTTCATATAACGCACAGTCAACCCGTGGAACTCTTTGCCAGAGGATGTTGTGAAGGCCAAGACTATAACAGGGTTCAAAAAAGAATTAGATAAATTCATATAGGGT